ATAATTCATAAGGAGTTTTCTGATGAGTCTTGTGAATCATGCTCCTGTTCTGGGAGTAGCATGCAGTATTGATTGCTTCAGCCCAGTATCTGTAGGGTAGACTTGATTCAGCAATCATGGTCCGTGCAGCTTCCTTTAATGTTCTATTTCTTCTTTCTGCAACTCCATTCTGTTGGGGAGTTCTGGCTGCAGAGAGTTGATGCATTGTACCATTCTGGTCACAGAAATCCTGAATGACCTTGTTGACGAACTCTGTTCCTCTGTCTGATCTGATGGCTTTGACTTTCTGATTCTGCTCATTCTGTAATAGCTTTAGCAGAGATGGCAGTTTCTGCAGAGTTTCATTTTTCTTGGTCAGAAAAATAGTCCATGTGAATCTGGAGTAGTCATCCACCATGACTAAGGTGTATCTCTTGCCACCAACACTTGGAGTTTCCACTGGTCCAAATAAATCCATGTGAATTAGATTCAAGGGACCAGTAGATAGGTTTCCAGCAATGGGTTTGAAGGAATTCTTCACTTGTTTTCCTTTCTGACATGCACTGCATAGATTCTCCTTTTTGTATACAAGGTTGGGTAGACCTTCAACAATGTGATCCCTTGCCAGTTTGTTGATTGTTTTGAAATTCAAGTGACTCGGTTTCTTGTGCCATTCCCAACTGAGTTTTGAATCTCCTTTGGCTATCAGGCAAATTCCATCTCTGGCAGTTGACCAATCAACCACATACATGTTTTTCTTTCTTGTTGCTGTTAGAACCACTTCTTTAGTTGTCTCATGCTTGACAGAACATCCTTCCTTGGAGAATTCAACTGTGTAGCCTTTGTCACAGAATTGGCTAGCACTCAGCAAGTTGAATTTCAATCCCTTGACATAAGAGACATCATCAATGATTATCTGGTTCTTTATCAGCTTCCCTCTTCCTTTTGTCTGGCCATCTTTATCATTACCTCAAAAGGTAACTCTGGGCCCTTTGACTTTCTGGAACTCTGTTAGGTAACTCTTGTCACCTGTCATGTGCCTGGAGTATCCACTATCAATGTACCAATCTTGCTCAGAGATGGCTCCAGCACACAGTTCCTACAAAATTAAAAGGAAGATTTAGGTACCCAAGCAATGTTGGGTCCTAGGGGGTTATGCAGTCTTGGCAGCCGGTACCACTTTGGTCTCATCAAGTGAAACCTTGGTGGGTGGTACCCATTGTCCACCTGGTAGTCATAGTAAACGGAAGTGTGATTCACTTTGGGCAGATGCTTGTGAGGATCATGCTTCCGGTTTACATACTTCTGCATAGCCTTTTAGTTGGGTAGAAGTCCCATATACTATCAAGATCAGAGGAGCGATTAACTTTGGGCTTCTTAAGTTGACCAGCCAACCTTTTCTGCCTAAAGTTAATTTTCTCTTGATATCTGCCTTTCTGGTGATCATCTCTGACACGATTATCATGAGTTTGTCTGTTATGGTTCTGTCTTTGATTTTTGGTATTCTGAAAATCTTTCCTGTTGTTAGTTCTTCTGCCAGTTTCATTAACTTTTAAAATGGGTTTCTGTTGAACCTTTATCTTTTCCCTTTCTGGTCTGACATTCTCATGAGTAACCTTGGTGCCAGATACACCAGCCTGACAAATGGGCCTAGAAATCAGTGGCACTATGACCTTGTCTGCCTTAGCAACTCTGGTGTTGGGCATTACAGAAGGCTCACCTGATTCTGTTGAGCCATAACCAAGACCAAAACCAGTGCCAATTTGTTGGTCAAGTACAATCTTTTCCATTGAAGACTGGGCCTTCTGGTAAGCTTTGTACTTAATCTCAAGAGGCTCTATCTCTCTTATTTTCTTTAGAAGAGAAACATTTTCAGCTTCCAGCTGATCTCTTTCCTCAATCAGAAGATTGATTTTAATCTCAACCTCCTTTCTTAAGTCAAGGATCTCAGCCTTAAGCTTACTGTTTTCTTCTTTAACAGAAGAATAAGTGGTTTGTATGGCTTGAAACTCTTCCCAAAATTCTGACATTGAATCAGAATCAAAGGCTCTGCCTACCGAAGAAAAACTAGAGTTGGAAGTAGAAGATACCTCATCATCAGATTGACCCATAAGACATAGGTCTTCAGTTTCTGTGTCCAGGCAACAGAATGCTTCATCAAATTCTGATTCCGAGCTGGACTCTGTCTCAGAGAGGGGGTCCTTCTCTGGTTGTTCAGTGATGAGTGCTTTCCTTCTTCGGTGCTCGTACTTCTTTTCTCCTTCCTGGCCTTGCCTTTTGGAGACTATGGGGTGTGGACAGTTGACTTTGAAGTGCCCTGGTTGTCTGCAGTTGTAGCAGAGAAGCTCTCCACTACTTTCTGATGGTTTGAACTTCTGGTGTGGCTTTCTGCTAGAGTGTGGACTTCTGCTATCCTTTGGCTTCAGAAATTTCCTGAACTTCCTAGCAAAAGCCGCCATATATTCGTCAGTTAAAAGAATAGAAGGGTCAAAATTATTTACCTGAGAGGTGCTGGCAGTGAGGGCAGTAGTTGTTCTGTCCTCAACTTCTTCTTTCTCTTCTTCATTCATCTCAAACTCATAAGACTTGAGATCAGAGATGAGTTTCTCAGTGCTGTAGGTTCTGAGGTCCTTGCTATCTCTCATGGCAGTGACCTTCATCTTCCATGGTGAAGGTAAGCCTCTGAGAACCTTCATATTAATTTCCTTGGGAGTAAGCTCCTTCCCAAGTTCTGATATCTCAGCAGTGAGGGTGAGCAAGCGTGCATACATCTCAGCTATGCATTCTTTGGGTAGAAGTTTGAAATCTTCAAACTTCTTCATGGCAATAGTAAGTTTGTTGTCCTTTTCTTGCTCATCTCCAGCTCCTATCAGGGTGAGAGTATCCCAGATTTCCTTGGCAGATTTGCACTTCTTGATCCTGGTGAAGTACTTGTCATCAATGGCCTTGTAGAGGATATCCTTGGCAATGTTGTCAAGGTTGTACTTTCTCCTTTCTTCATTAGACCATTCATGGCGCAGTTTGGTGATCATCTGGGTTGACCACTACCAGTGATGTATTCAGGGTTGACCTTGGTGAACTCTGTGAAAGGTCCTGCATCAAGTACTTCCCACATTTCGTCATGGAGTGCGCAGAGGTGAGCTTTCATGCGGATCCTCCAATCATCAAACTTTGTTACTGAGAACATAAGATTCTTTGAAAGAGTGTTATCCATAATATGAGATTAAAGAGGCTAAAACAAGTGGATCTCTTGTTTAGTAAGTAACCTAAAAGATTACAAGAACAAGGAGGCTCTGATACCACTTGTTGGTCCCGTTTGTAATAGGAACAGTCTAGGGGGGGGGGTGAATAGACTGTTCAGGAATTTAAACTTTTCTCCAAGTCAAGTCTGACTTAACAGAGATGGTCGAAATCTGGTGACAGAGATGGTCAAGTTCTGATGGCAGAACTAGGCCAGGCAGCGGATGAGTTTCTGTCCGGGTAGCCTCTAGAAGAAAGCTAGGCAAAATGCCTTTCTGATAACTCTGAAGGAAGATCTGCTGGACACAGATTCCAACCTAAAGAGTTAGTCAGTAGAATCTTAAGTGCAGAAAGTAAAAGCTGAAAGTAAATGACACCGGGGTTTTTATAGTGGTTCAAGGAACAACTCGTTCCTCTAGTCCACTGTTCCACTAAGCTTGCAAAAACGACAGTTTACAACGCCTTAGTCCCTAGAACTTAAGAAGCACTCCTCGTCTTCTTCAAGTCTAGTTGCCACCCGGGATGCAGTCCTGCTTCCTGATGGCTGGTCTCGTTTCACTGAGTCTCTTGAAGTATCTCCACTTCACTTACTCCAGCTAATTTGAGACGTCCCTTCTTTTTCAAGAAGTGTTTGATATAGAATCAGTTTTCTCCAACGTTGCTTCTTCACAAAAGATGAGTATATGAAGCTCTCGAAGTGTTGAAGAACTGAGTAACTTTGCCTTTGCTAGTTGGATGAAGGATAGGAATATTTATCTTCCAACTGTGGCCTTTTCTTGTTAGAAATGGAGTTTTGATCTCAAGAAAGTTGTTCACGCAAATCTATCTTGGCAAAGGTTATGGCAAAGTTCTCTTCTTAGTTCTCCAGAGTGTATCTTATATACTGGGAGCGGTCTTCCCGTTGGAGTGTAGAAGACAGCTTCATTAAATGCATGTACTGTTGACTTGACCGTTTGGTCCTCCGACTTGCTATTTTGGGGGCGTAAAGATATTCGCATGGTTAATCATCAGCTTTAAATATCTCTTCGTACGTACAACATTAAATGTGCATTTAATGCGTGTACAGTGCCATGCTTCCGTTGAAAGGTTCGTAACTGTTAGAGGATTTCCCGTTAGTTTAACGACCGTTGGAAGGACTTCCGGATTCTGATGATACTTAGCAGAGTCTCAAGAGGTTCTCTGGTCCAGTCTCTGAAGTCCGTCTCTGGTGCCAACTCTGGTATCTTTCTGATAACCAGTTTCTGATAGCTTCTCTGGTGAGCAACTCTGGGAGCAACTCTGGTAGAAGCAAGATGGAACTCTGGCAGGCAGACTAAGCTAAAACTTACAAAAGAAATTCTAATACACAATTTCTAATGGGGTACTTTCAAATTCTAATTAATCCTAGCATCATCAAAATCTAAATACATTTATTCCTTACAATTTCCCCCTTTTTGATGATGCCAAAACACTTTAACTATTTCCAGAGAAGTGCCTTTCACCATAAAAATATAAAGTTAAAAACTTTTCATTAGAATCTTGGTGGGCAACTTAGCATAGGAAAATAGTAAGAGTACGATTCATTCAGATAGCAAAAAAATCAAGTATGATAACAGAAAATACACAAGAAAGTAAATAAGAACAGATATTTGAAAAGAGCCAATCAAACAGAGAGGCAGAGAAGGTATCTTATTAAACTGTTAGAGAAAGTAAAGCATTACAGAGTTAGATAAAGAGAGTTAGAGATCTTCTTCATCTACCTGTGGTCCTGCTCTGTCAATCCTTTCAAGTTCAGCATTTACCTTCGCTCTGATTGAGGCTAAATCCCTAGGATTCTGATAGTCAGCCCAATGAGGTGCAAGTTTGCAATCCAGATAGTTTCTGACAGCTTCAGCAGAATTCTTGCCATTCAGTATATTCATTCCGTACCACATCTCAGCTTCTTCGATCGAACCACCATGGTTGATCTGGACAAGTCCATCACTGTCCATGAACAGATTCTCTCTTTGAAGAGGGGTCATCAATTTTCTCATTTGTTCAAACTGAACTCTGTCTGGCCTTGACAGACCACTCTTCATCCAATCAGTGAATAAAAAGGATGAAGACTTCTTCTTTGAGCTTCTGGGAGGAGGAGGAGGAGGTGGTCTGGTGCCTGTAGCATTTAATAACAATGTCTTAGCCACACTTTGGCAAACATGGGCATACAAGCCCCCAAATAATTATTCAAAAATAATATCCATGAGCATTGTTATAATTGTTTTGAAAACAGGAAACAGAAGAAGCACGAACCACGTCTTCTCCTCTGAATATCCCGAGCAACGGGCACCGGTAGCAACCTTCAAGTCCTACCTGAAACTGTGAGGTGGCCTCCCCCGTGAAGGGGAGGTCAGTACTTGGAAATATTTGACAAGTACAATAGCAACTATACTAAGTATAATCAACGTTTTAATTTCCAAGACCCTCAAAATAGAGTGATATCATAATATAAATAACAATTTATATTTCCCACTTATTATCTTTATAATAAGTGAATTTATTTATATGTCGGCACACGACCCTTCTTATATGTTTCTTTTCATTTATCATTTGCACAACCCAACCCTTGGGTCTTATTATTTCTACGGGACTTGCTACCGCTGTCCGAGACCTCATGAGGCTCCCGGTTCGGACTTCAACATCCCGCCCCTGGACTCGTACCCATCATCCCGTAGGAAGGTAAGGCCCTTCGGGGTCCTATCTTATGTGTTACCGCTACCGGAACCTAGTTAGGTCTCCGATTCGGATTCCACCCTAACCCGTGATCACGATGTAAGTCCATGCTATCCAACCCCGCTCTCTAGAGTCGGGAAGGGCCATGGTCCTTACTATTTCCATAATTCAACCGGCTATCCACAAGGACTACCGAACACACCCGTAGGCCAATCCTATACTTAGGATCAATTTATTATTTACTTTATCTTGGGTATCCCTTAAGGCCTACCCCTAGTATAACTTAGAGTTCATACTTTCCTACCTTAAAGCATCTCTTAAGACTACTTAAGGCATAACATTTCACAATCCAACCTTAGGATCAATCTTAACAACCTTTCATTTTAATGTCCAACTAGTATCATAATACTAGTCAAATTAATATCAACAAACCAAGTTCTCAACTCATAGTCATATAGACAATTCCAACTGATTTTCCTTTGAAAATATCATTTATCTCAATATTCAAAATATCCCTTTTAATCACTCATATATTCTAATATGAAGAAAAAAGTATATTTCAACATATGTTTCTTAATAAATTCCACTTTCAAGTCAACATACTCATAACACATGAACATACACAATTTACTCTTAAATTTGTATATCATGCTCCTTTTTCTTTAGACATTTAGTCTTTTCGTTTTTAGGCATTATTAATCATTAATAATCCATAAAAACATATTTAATTACCTTCGGTAATCTCGTGAAATTAATGCACTAATTATAAACAATATAGTCAGTCATCCTCACCTCGAATTTGCTTGAAGAAGCTCTACCCTTCTAGGTTGAGCTCCGGCAATACTCCGGTGAACTCCGGCGAAACTCCGACGAGACTCCGGCGAAACTTAGGAACACTTTAGTCAAGCTCCTAACAAGGTTTTATTATCACAAAACCCATATCAACACAAATAACCCTTAAAAGGTTATTTTCCGGCGAACCGGTCATTTGGCTTCTAAGTCCGTTCTTGGACTTAGAACTACCTTCCAACCCCTTGTTCTACACTTCTAAACATGAAGAACAATCCTAGGGGTCCTCAATATGATATATAAGTCTTAGGGTAGCTAAGAAGTAGAGAAAAAGTTAGTATGAGGTCATTACCTTGATTCTTCACACTTTTTCTATCTTTCTTCTTCTCCAAACCTCTCCCTTTTTCTTGTTTGAGCTTGAGCTCGAGTTGGCTATGGAAGGTGAGGTTTTCAGAGCTCCTTGACCTTCTTTTCTTGGTGCTGGACGAGTACAATGAGTGGGAGAGGAGGGAGGATGGTACTTTTGTCCTTGGTTGACAATTGGGTGAGGTTAGGGGTCCCCTTAGGTGTCAAGATGGTCTCCCCCATCCCTTCAATGGATTTCAGCCACCATTTAGCTCATGCCAGCCTCCAAGGTCTTGGAAATTTCGTGGGTTGGCCCCCAATTGTGTGGGAGGTCATCCCTTTTTGTCCAGAAGTGCACAATCGGTCCCGAAAGTTGCATTTTTCGGCCCGTTTTAATCATATTTTATTTTATCGGACCAAATAAAATATATTACGCGTTCCAAATAATTATGGGCCTTTAGAATAGATGTATATTCCCCAACATTAATTTAGGAGTCTCCGAAACTCACTTCGGGCTGTTATCCGTCAAATTGTCGATACCGGTAATTGGGCCCCGTTTGACCAACCGGTCAACTCCATGCCTTCCTTATGGCCCAAATAAAATATCCACCACCATATACATATTATCTAGACCAAGATGAATATAATATGTGGTTCGGGAATCATCGGGCGGTCCCCGTTCCCGCTGTGGGCCCCACATGCAATTTACTATTCACGTAAAAGAAATAATGAAATTTAACAATTACATAAATTCATAAATCATCCTTCAAGGTTTATTACATAATTTACTAAAAGTAAATATGCTCGGGGTCGGTGTTACATAGATGGTCCAGAATGTGCTATCCTAAGGAGGAAGGGGGATTAGACATTCGCTCTTTAAAAGACCTTGAAAAAAATCCCTTAAACTTTGGTGGAAATGGAAATCCCACACGAGTTTTTGGTCTCAAGTTATTCACATGAAATACCAAAGAAGTGATGACATGATCCCTAAGATTACTGATTCACCAGTTTGGAAGAGAATATGTAGCATAAATGCATTGGCTCTCACCTTGATAGAATCTTCATCCAATCAGATTTTGATCTGGAAACCTGCTCAAGATGGACTCTTCTCTTTCAAATCAGCTTACAATGTTGTCGGACACTCCCAAGGTTCTGCTTTTTCCTACAAGCATATTTGGCATAATAATCAGCAACTTAAGGTGAAACTTTTTCAATGGAAGCTCTTTAAAGGTATTTTACCTATAACTGATAATCTCAATAGATTTCAGAAGGTGTTACAACCCTCAATGTGCCCTTGGTGTAGAAATGATAATGACACCACTGACCATATCTTTTATGGATGCTCATATGTTAAACCAATTTGGAGTTATTTTAGCAGGATATTGAATATTTCAATTCCTTCTAATCTACGCACACTTAGACATATGTTCTTTGTTTGGTGGTTTGAAGCTGGAAGTAAATCCCTCAATGATGTTTTTAAACATAATCTACCTTGCATTATCACATGGCATATCTGGAAGGTTTACACGGACCTAATTTGGGGATCTCAACAACATATTCCTACGAGTGCAGACATTATTTGGAGAATCAAAGACTATACTCAGCTTTGGGTTCAAACTTTCAATTCTTCCAAATACAGCCTCATTGATAACATTCTTATAGAAGAAAATATCATCCCTAGCAACTTCAATTCGAAGCTGGCTCTCAAACCAATTAGATGGTTTAGACCTAAGCACGGTTTAAAACTAAATGTGGATGCAGCGTATACACCTGGAAGGGCAGCACGAGGAGCAATTCTGAGAAATGATAAAGGCAATCTCGTTGGAGCCATTTCTTTTCCCATAACTGCTTGTTCCAGTCTTCATGCGGAGCTGATGGCTCTCATCATAGCGACGACTTGGGCAGTAGAGGAAGGTTACGATTGTGTTCAGGTGGAAAGTGACTCGGAGGAGATTGTGGATTACGTATCAGGAAGGAAACGGGATCGCTGGAAAGAGGAAATCGTTGATTTCAGGCAGAAGTGTTTTAGGAAAGCGATCGGATTTAGGCATGTGTTGCGTGAAGGTAATATACCGGCCCATCTTCTTGCTGGATTATCTTCGGGCCAATTTATGAAATGAACTGATCTGGACTCTCTTCATGGGCCTCTCAGGAAGGCTATTTGGACTGATTTATTTAATTTACCTACTTTTCGTTTACCTAATTAAATTGTATGTTTTGATTGGAAGAGGTTTTGGTATAGTCCCCCTCTTTTTGTATTCGTTCTCTTTTTTCAATAAAAACTGACAAATGTCCCCTGACATTTGTCCCACTAATTTTGGTGGTTTGCTTTCCGGGGGTTAAAAAAACATTGATTTTAATGAAATTAAAGAGTCTAATTGCTCAATTACTTTACTTAAATAGTTTATATGTTTTGTTTTTAATATTAAGGACATATTTGTTTTATTTTTTTTTGTTGCCAAAAAATCATTTTTTTTAGTCAAAAACTCATTTTGTTTTTGCAAAAAAAAGTAATTTTTTTATTCAATAGCAGGGGTTAACATAAATGGTGAATATATTTTTTTTAATATTAAGTCCATAAAAATGTTTTTAAAAATGTATTTTTTGGCAAAACACATACGGAGTTTTGTTTTGGAAAACAATTTCTTTTTGCATAACAATGATTCTTTCGTTTCAATAGTAGACTTTATGTTGTGATATAATTCGTATTACAGAAAATGTAACCCGCGTTGATTGAAAATCTAACTTTAGTGTATCCAAAATGTAACTTGTTGAGGCAAACTCAAATGTAACTCGCGTATAGAAAGATGTAACGCACGCACAAGACGATGTAAATCGGGAATAAGAAGATGTAACTTCATTTAATAACAAATGTAATTATAGAAATTGTCTATAAACATAACGCACACATACGAAAAATATATTATTCTCATGTTTTTTTTCAAATTTAAATCGAAATAAACAAGCTTAATGACTATAAAACACAAAAAACGTATAAAAGAGATAAAAATATAATCCCTCCGTTCCTAAAAATTCTTCCCGGTTTGACTTGACACGCTTATTAAGAAAGTGGAATAAAGTGGAAATGTATGGTTGTGGTTGTATAAGAAAAAGGTAAAATGAATGTTAGCCACACAAATTGTCCAAAATAGGAAAGTGAGAAGTATTTTTGGGAACAGCCCAAAAAGGAAAGTGGGAAGTATTTTTGGGAACGAAGAGAGTATTATAGAAAAAAGTATATGAATATAAAAAATATTTTACAAAAAAAGTGTATAATAAATATATAAAAAAGTATACAAAGTAAGAAATAGTGTATGAATATGAAATACAATATACTTATTTCATGTGGATTAATAAAAATTTGTATTAAATTGGTAAAGAAAAAAAATAATTCAATTATAATTTAATTAGTTCAAGATAAAGAAGTAAAAAATCACAAATAATTAGATATAACTCACACATAATTGCATGCAACTAGCGCATAAAAGTATGTAACTCGCGTATAATAAGATGTAACTCACACATAACAAGATGTAACTCACGCATAATAACTTGTAACTGGGGTATAAGATGATGTAACTTCGTATATTATCAAATGTAACTCCAAGCTAGAATCAAAATAAACAAACTCAATATCTTAAAACCTCTAAAAACATATAAAAGTGATAAAAAATATTATAGAAAATGTGTATGCATATAAAAATATATTACAAAAAAATGTATGAATGTAAAAAAGATATTACAAAAAATAGTGTATGAATATGAAATGTAGTGTACTTATTTTATTTAGATTATTAAACTTTTTGTTATGTATTGATAAAGAATTAAAAAATAGATTCAATTATTATTTAAATTGAAGATAAGGAAAAGTAAAACTACAATTAAATTATTAATATTTTAATTTGAGAGAAATGGAGAAGAATTAAAGAAAAGAAGAATAAGGAAAGAATAACAAAGGGAAAAGGAAGGAAGAAGCTCCAGGGAAGAAAAGAAAGGAACGTAACTTTGTAAAAGTGGATCGGCACACCATGCGAAAGGTGGATCGAATTTGGCGTGAAGAATCGATTCACACTTGACGGACGTATGTTAACGGCAGACGGTTGGAGTCAAAAGGACTGCTTGTGCAATTTTTTTTTTAAAATACATGTGTTTGACTATATGACCAGCCACATGGATTGAATGGTGCACATGTCAACATGAGGATAGAAGTGCATTGATGCCCTCTAAAATGGGGGTGGCATCAGAGAAAACCCCATAATTTAAAATCTATTTCAATTCAATTCGTTCTTGTACAGTAGTATATATACTCCTTATGTACTTGAGACTTCGACGTCGATCTATCTAAGCTGTCCAGGCGGCTAGCTCAGCTCAAAGATGGCTCCCCAAAAGACTTCCATTTCGGCCACCATGATGATCTTCATCATGGCGTTCATGGCGGCTAGCTGCAACTCTCGTATTCTACTGGGCAACAACAATATGATGGAAGGCGCTGACTTTGTTGACCAGCAGCGTCAAGAGACGACTGGGAGCAGCAGTGGTGCTGCTATAAACATGCCGCCGCCGCCGGCTGATGATGAGAAGAAAGATAAACATTTATTCCGTCCGAACTTAGAGGTTTCTCCCCCGCCACCGCCGCCTGTTCCGCCAATCTTTCCGCTCCCATTACCACCCCTCCCACCTTTCCCCTTCCCACTACCCATCCCTGGAACTCCTCAATTGCCCCTTCCAGTACCACCGCTTCCGATTCCGAATATCCCTGGACTACCACCACTCCCGCCTCTTCCCTTTCCGATTCCGAATATCCCTGGGCTACCACCGCTCCCGCCTCTTCCCATTCCGATTCCGAATATCCCTGGGCTACCTCCGCTCCCGCCTCTTCCCTTTCCTATCCCGGGAACTCCACAACTGCCACGGCCGGTACCGTCTGTACCACCGGTTCCGATCCCGGGAATCCCTGGACTCCCTCCACTACCACCGCTTCCAATTCCAATCCCGGGAACTCCTCCACTGCCGGTACCGCCCGGTCCGGTTCCCGGCATCCCCGGACTCCCTCCCCTGACGCCGCTTCCGATTCCGATCCCGGGAACTCCTCAACTGCCGCTTCCACCACCACTTCCAATTCCTAGTGTACCTGGACTACCTCCTCCCCCAGCATAGGCGGCGCCGGCGGTGGCACGAGTAGTTAATAATTATATTATCCTAGATGACAGTGCATGCATGTTAGGAGTATATGTATAGTACTACGTACGTTCTTAGAGTTTTTTTAATTTTCGTCCTTTTTAATAATTCATGGAGTTAAATTAGTTCATTAGTTTCTATAGTGAGTAGTAACTATCTTCTTAACTGCCAGTGTTGTCTGGATAATGTGTAAAATCTAAGCTCAATAAAAATGTTTCTATATTATACTTTATACATGCATTTCTAGTGTATTATCATAAAATTCATTAAATAGAACTAGAACGTAACCAAAAGGTCCAAATATGACCACCATGTAATCTGTCTAAAGCATGATTCATTCACTCGTAATTGAGTGAGTTTTATAATTTTAATAGAATTGAATAAAACATATACTTAGTTCTATTTGTATATTTTTTATATTGTAGTCCTATTTGGGGTAATTTCTTAGTAATTTGATTTAGTATTTTATTAACCATTTAAGCAAAGAAAAATGCTAGGGAGATTAAAAGAAGTAGAGGGATTTCAAGGAAACAATGTTGGGGGAATAAATAAGAGTTAATGCCTTAAATAGGACTAATAGCAAAGTTAATTGCACATTTAGGATTATAAACGAAACACAAGTTTCATAGGACCAATTTCAACTTTGTTGGACAAAAATAACCCTCCCTTAATATTTTTTATTTTGAAAATGAAAAATAAAAAACTGTTGAAACCCTAAATTGTCAACTGCTACCAGCAACATGCCAGAGTCGGAGCCGCCCGCCACCGACTGCCGCTACCCTCGCCGCCGCCGTCGACCGTCGTCCTTGTTGCCCCCCGCCGCATCCCTGACGGTGCATCATTTCCATTTGTCGCCGCCCAAACGGCGTCACCATCCGCCTCCGCCTCCGCCGCCGCCGCCGCGCGCCATCCTATCTTTATCATTGCCGTCAATGTTCAATCTAGGGCCGCCACTTCACCTCCGAGCACCACCGCCACCATCAAAGCCAACCGCCGTAAATTTTCCATTAAGTTGGCAGATTTGACCTTGAAGAGTACTTAAAATCTGCCTTGAACACAAATTTTCAAATCTGCCATAAATTTGGCAAATTTATCTTGAATGATTTACACAAAACTGTCATAATCTTGGCAAAATATGAAGTCCACAACTAAATTTTCAAAAAAAAAATAGAACAATAACTTTAACAGAAATAAGAATTTAATGACAAAAAATAAAAAAAAAACGATTTACATAAAAAAGTGTTTTGCCATAATATGATTGTCATAAATTTGGCAAAATCGTATATCATCATCCAAAAATATGCCATAAACATGGCAAAATTGTATGTCATAGTCCAAAAATCTAGAAAACTGGTTTCTTTTAAAATCAAGCAATCAGGAATAAAAAAATTGAAATAGAAGTCCAAAAATCCACAAATCGAATGTCAAAACTAAAAAAACAGAGGAATGGAGGAAAACTCAGAAAAATCAGTTTCAAAGCCAAAAAAATAGAATAATAGGAGGAGGAATAGGATGAGGAGGAGGAGGAATTTCTAATAGGAGGAGGAATAGGATGAGGAGGAGGAGGAGGAAGAAGAGGAAGAAGAGGAAGAAGAGGAAGAAGAAGAGGAAGAGGAAGAGGAAGAAGAAGAAGAAGAGGAAGAGGAAGAGGAGGAGGAGGAAGAGGAGGAGGAGGAAGAGGAAGAGGAAGAGGAAGAGGAAGAGGAAGAGGAGGAGGAAGAAGAGGAGGAAGAGGAAGAAGAGGAAGAAGAAGAAGAAGAGGAAGAAGAAGAAGAAGAAGAAGAAGAAGAAGAAGAGGAAGAGGAAGAAGAAGAAGAAGAGGAAGAGGAAGAAGAAGAAGAAGAAGAAGAAGAAGAAGAAGAAGAAGAGGAAGAAGAAGAAACCTTACCAAACAGCGGCGTGTGCGCGGTGGGGTCGTGAGCGGTGGCGGCTAAGGATGAAATTGATGATGGCGTACAAACAGTGTGATGAAGTTGATCGATCTGATGTGCAGAGATGGAGCAGACGATCGATCTGTTGTGCAATGGAGAAGAAATAGATTGTAGAAGGGGAGATGGGTGAATCTGCTATGCAATGGATGCTATGTAATGGAGAAGAAATAGATTGAAAAGAATGGGATATGGAGGATGGTGCGCAGGAGAGAGGGAGGGATAAGGTCTGCGCAGTAGAAATTGTCGATCGGTTAAATAGGGATAAAAATGAAACGAGAAATTATGTAGGTTTCAAAATATGAGTAATATGATCCTATTTGGGGAATAAAACATATATGGTCCCATTTAAGAATTCTTCCCCTCTTTTAGTCCCATATGGGGCAATTACTTAATAAATATTTGGTCGAAGTCCGGGTATGACATGCATAAATCAGGCTAAATATAAAAAATGTTAAAAATTACACTAAAAAATTGTAAGAAAATTAGGGAGTGCATAAAAATTTGTAGTGGACCTTTAAAATTCAGTACTAATAATTACTAATTGGAAATCGCTAAAAAAATACCTTGGCATTGCATTTTCTGTCATTTGTTTAAATCTGAACTTATAAGAGTTATTGTTTGCTTTTAGAACAAGGAAGTACATTTCTCCAAACCGGAAAAAAAATGTTGCTGCCCAGGATCGAACTGGGGACCTTCAGTGTGTAAGACTGACGTGATAACCACTACACCACAGCAACCAGTTGCTATTAGCAACGTTTAGACGCTATAAATATTTTGAAATAATATGCACTGCGTAATTTATAATGGAGCTCAAATTAGCTTACTTAAAAAAACTTGTACGAGTAACACTTATCAATGAATGCTGAATTGAACACTTCTAACTGATTGACTACGAAAGCAACAATCCATTTTATACCATTAAATTAATCGAAGTTGTAAAAGTAATTGATTGATTTTCTTCAATTTAATTTGTTTTAAAATGATATACTATGAGTCCTTTTGGTAGCACTGAAATTGGCTGAATCGGTTGATTCTGCTTAAACTTATAAAATTTTGGCTGAAGTGACTGTATTGGCTGCTTTTGCTGATTTATAAAAAAATTAAAATTTTGTTTTATTAATAAAATAACGAAAAATTATATGAAAAAATTATATGAAAAAATAGCTAAAATGGTCATCTACCGTAACTTCAGCCAATACAACCATAAAAGTAACTCCAACCTTACTTTTTTTCTTATTATTATACAATTCATCGCGCGAAATCAAAAGTTACGTATTTGATTAAAAAGTTAGTTGATAAGTCTGGTAAGCCGAAATTTGATTAAAAAGTTACGTGTATTATTATACACGTAGTCACCAAACAGGCACTACGTGTCGAGAACTTCTAAAAGTTAACATAGTCGAGAACTTTTAAAAGTGCTCAAGTAGAAATGAGTTAGTCATCTTCTAAGTATTTATGATTAAAAAGATATTATCATTATAAAAATAAATAAGAAATCATAATTCTGATTTCGGTAATTGTGTGACTTGCAATTCACTTACTCCGTATAATATAGAGGAGGTTGCATTTTGTCCAGGGTATTCTCCTTCGTTGAAAACACCTCCAAGAACAATTCCTCTTATGAGCATTCATAATATAATATCTTCCTAACTTGTCTTAATTTTCTTCCATTTCCTAAGAACAAGAACAAAAATACTTCTTTCAAAAAAAATGGGAAAGTTTAAACCTTAGAATCTCAAATCTATCTCTTCAGTTTTTTGAAAACAAGAACCATAGCGATTTGGAAAAAAGGAAAACAATACAAAAGCAAAAATTTGGAAAGCAGTTGGAAAAGAGAAGAGTAAGAAAAGAGAAAAAATGAAATTTTACAGTTTTACAGAAATTTTGGTAGAAAGAAGCTACTCCGTATATTGAATGCTGTATTTTTGACATTACTCGTCAATCTCTACAGTGATAACCGTGTTGACCGATTCGATGCCGATCAATTACGGCGTTCTTTCTTAAACTTGAAGAATTCCAGAATTAGCTTATCCAGATCCCTTTCTTGCTTCTACCCAACCTTCCAAGCATACTAGATCCGAGCTCCTGCCATGGATCTGCCGCCGGAAGAGCTGCAGTTCTTGAAGATTCCCGACGTGGTCAATGAGTCAATCTCCATCCCCAGACGATCTCCGAAGACCTTCTATCTAATCACCGTCACTTTAATCTTCCCGCTGTCCTTCGCAATTTTGGCCCATTCCCTCTTCACCCACCCAATCCTCTCCCAGCTCCGAGATAACCCTCACGCCGACCACGCCGACCAGTGGGCTAAGCTTCTCCTCTTCCAATTCTGCTACCTCATCTTCCTCTTCGCGTTCTCACTTCTCTCCACCGCCGCCGTCGTCTTCACCGTCGCCTCCCTCTACACCGCCAAGCCCGTCTCCTTCACATCAACGCTTTCCGCCATCCCCGGCGTCTTCAAGCGTCTCTTCATCACCTTCGTATGGGTTTCCTTCCTGATGCTGGTGTACAATATCGTTTTCGTCGGATTTCTGGTGCTCTTAATCATAGCCGTCGATACCGACAGCGTCCTCCTGTTCCTTTTCTCGGTGGTGGTCTTGTTCCTGCTGTTTCTGTTCGTCCATGTCTACATCACCGCCGTGTGGCATTTGGCCAGCGTGATTTCCGTGCTTGAGCCCGTCTACGGCCTAGCCGCCATGAAGAAGAGCTACGAATTGTTGAAGGGGAGGGCCAGGATGGCATTCCTTCTGGTTTTCTCATACCTGGCGATCTGTGGAGTGATCAGCGGGTTGTTCGGGATGATTGTGGTGAAAGGAGGGGACTATTACGGGCTGTTTTCGAGGATTTTGGTCGGAGGGTTTTTGGTAGGGGTTTTGGTGGTTGTCAATCTGGTGGGGCTTTTGGTGCAGAGTGTGTTCTATTATGTGTGCAAGAGTTATCACCATCAGGGGATAGACAAGAGTGCTCTTTACGACCACCTCGGCGGCTATCTCGGGGAATATGTGCCTCTCAAGAGCAGCATTCAGATGGAAAACCTGGACGCTTAGTGTTGATTCTGGTGAGGAAAAAAAAGCTAATCTTTGTACTCTCTTTAAACACTCACTTGTTGTTATAAGACATGTAAAAAGGAATTGTGGTATCAATAGAATGTGTACTTGTTTCTTGCAATATATGGTGCTAGATGGGAGTTCATTTTCTTTGTAATTGATGAAATTTGGCCACCAAGGCATTGCTGATGATAGGAGGAGTGTCTTCTGTTGTTCTTATTCCTACATACTGTACTACCAGGTG